TACCTGACACGCCGGCCTCTAGGAGTCTTGGAGCATCCTTCAACGAGTTGACCCAAGCATGCCTACTCTACTCATATGCATTCTCCGCCGGTCCGCTCACAAGAGACCCCGGCCGCGGATCACTCAGAGAGCTCCTCCTCGTCTGTCAGCCTCACGATCCCACGACAGACATACTAGCAGCTTTCACAGCAAAGACTAGCCCAGCTGAGACCTGACCGCTTCAATGACACACTTTCGCCACAGAGGGTCGGGATCGCCCAGAGCTCGTGGTCGATGATGATGGTGCCCTGCCCACCTTGCCCTCGTTCTTCAAATACCATTCACGCAGCCTCGCCGTCCGACCCTTAGGTTTTGGTGTTTGACGCCAAAGGGGGAGAGGGTGTTCGAGTATGTAGTCTCAGGGGGAGCTACATTTAGGGGGAGTTAGTTATCTAGTATTAGCCTATTATATACATTTGGAGTTCTATTTGTGTGATACACTATTACTTATGCATTCGTATGTTTACTTTCATGCATACTATTATATATATGTGATAGTGCTATCTACGTGATTGTGATATTTGACATGTGTGATTTCTACTTTGCATTATCTATATGTCATATCACTTGTGTTATGCTCATTTGCTTTTGCTTCCGCGTTTATACTTCGAAGCAAATGAGCCTAGTTACTTGTACTCATGCTTAATTCATATCCTTTGAGTACATTGTGTTGGCTTGGGTCATATAAGCTTGCCTAACTCTTTTGTTCTTAACGACAAAAGCTTATATGAACCAAGCCCGTCAAAAACCTCATAACATAACATACTGAGGTGGTGGTATTGTCATCAATCACCAAAAGGGGAGATTGAAAGCATCTAGGCTCCTAAGTGGATTTCGTGATTAATGTCAATACAAGATTACTATGACTAACGTGTGTTTTGCAAGAGGCAATTAAGTTAGGTCATGGTAATGGAGATCGATTGGGCAATTGAGGTTGTCATGCCCTCACGATGGAAATCGCTTTCGGTTTTCAAAGGATGGACGACAAGGTTAAGGATAACTAGTTCTAAGTGTCAATTGAAGTTGGAGAGACACTTAGAGTAGTTTAGGACTTTGTTTTTCCTTTGGCCGCATTTACTATGAAGGGGGGTATGAACGGGTAGCTTGACCTAGTTGAGTCTAGTGAGTTAGGTGTGGTGCACACTTGTTAAAACTAGCTCTAGGTAGCTCCTATGAATGCCTAAGATCCTTTGGAGCAAACTTCATTCACATATGATCGAGAGTTGAAATGAATGGAGGGTCAACATCGACCGGACACGGCAGCTCGGTATGACCGGACGCCGCCATAGGGTCCGGCCATTCATTTGATCGAGGAGAACAAGTCCGGAGGACCGGACGCCGGAAAGAGGACCGGACGCTGGGGGGGCCGCGTCGGCCGACTCCAAGAAGGGTCCAGACTTGAGAAAGTGTGACCGGACGGACCTCGAGTATCCAGCGTCCGGCCGACATGAAGCATCAAGATCGGCGGACGACGCTGTCGGTTAAGGCCGACCGGACTCGTCGTCGTCCGGTCATCACTTTGAAACTGTTATGCTGGTTGAATGGGACCGAGCGTCCGGTCAATATGATCGAGCGCCCGGTCATCCTGCGCAAGGTAAGCTCATAACGGTTCATTTTTCAGTCGCTTTATAAATAGAAGCTCCACTCGAGTGTGGAGTGACTTTTGCTCATTCCAACAATTTGAGAAACACGCTTAGGAGTGCCAAGAAGAGCAAGGTCCTAGTGAGGTGTTTGTGATTTGAGAATCCAAGAGTGAAACCTCATTAGTGAATCAAGAGTAGACAAGTGTGCATCCATCTTCTCATTAGGCTTGGCGTGGTCAAGTGAGAGTTCGTGCTTGTTACTCTTGGTGATCGCCATCACCTAGACGGCTTGGTGGTGATTGGGAGCTTGGTGATCACCCGGCTGAGCTTGTGGGTGACCCAACTCAAGTTGTGAGCGGTTTTGGGTGATTCGCCGCGACGGAGTGTCAAGAATCAACTCAGAGAGCACTTGATCCCTTGCGCGGATCAAGGGGAGCTACACCCCTTGCTGGGTGCTCCAACGAGGACTAGTGGGGAGTGGCGATTCTCCGATACCTCGGCAAAACATCGCCGCGTTCCTTTCTCTCTCTATTTACTTTGAGCACTTACTTTGAGTATTTACTTTGAGCAATTCAATACTTGTTTCACATCCATAGAATTGCTTGCTAGAGTAAGTTTGGAACATAGATTGCGAGGTTGTTGTGCATTAGTTTGATATAAACACTTTTCTAGGCACAAGGGGTTAATTGGGCTATCCGTAGGATTTTATTATTGCAAGAAAATTTAGAATTAGCCCAATTCACCCCCCTCTTGGGCATCTTGATCCTTTCAGGGTGCACTTTGGTTTCTTTGTATTTTGTTAGTCACTCCTTGGAAGGGGGTTTATGCTTAACCTTAGCAGCTCTAACTTATTAGACGAACCTTTGAAAGGCTTCGTAGTGAACCCTACTGACCTTCCTTGGTAGTGGGTTAAGAGGCTCGCGATCTCAGGCGAAAGGGTAAATCACGACTCACAGTGAAAGTGTACAACCTCTGCACAGTGTAAAACTGGTATATCAGCCGTGCTCATAGTCAAGAGCGGCCTTAGAACATTTACGGAATAGATGATCACTAATGGTTAATGATGATGAACACGGATGATACTGATGATGAATATGCTCATTAATGAATACTGTTTATGCTATTTATTATTCATATCTACATGATCATGTGTTTATACGAGCTTGTGATAAATTTGTTGCTACTCCTATGCTAAAATTATGACAATTAAAAGCTAATCGCAGTTAAACCAGTGTCAACCTTTTGAGCCTCATGAACCTCATGTTATATTTATTGAGTACGGCATGTACTTACGTTTGCTATATTTTTCACATATTTAGATAAAATCCCGGATGGGTACTAGATTGCTAGAGTTTGGAGTAATTAGGCTTGTGATCAACCAGTCAGTAGTCCCTGTGGAATTGGAGTCTTCGCCTGAAGATCGGAGTTGTCTTTCCGCTGTCTATACTCTAAGGTTATATTCTCTATACTAATACGCTATGTATTTAAGCATTGTCTTTCGATATTACCCTTATTTGTAGTTATATGTGAGATTTGACTTCCTGAGCTTACATATGGTGTGTATCTAGTTTTGTCCTTAAAACCATGTGTTACATGTAGGCTGCATTCCGGACTTTCGGCGTGTTCGCTAGTTGGTTTTTGGGTTGATTTTGGTTGGCTGGTGCTGATTTTTTGTGAGAGAAAAATACTGTTGGTTGGTTGAATAAGCCTGGCTGAAATCAACAAGCAAACATGATGTTTATTTGTGGTAGAGGATTGTTAATACAGAGGGAGGTGCGGAATGGGTGCAGGTCAGGGTCATCTATCTGGAGACAGTGATGCCCATGACCAAACCTGTTAACAAACCATGTGTGAGTGGTTCTGAGATTGTGGGTGTCACATCTGTGGGCACAGATGTTGGCATATTGACTTTTAAGCGTCTATGCCCCTAGTACTGAACTACTCCTTGTCTCCTTGCATCTCTGTTAACCTACATCTTTATAGCACCTATTTGTTTACTCAGTTAACCATTTCTGGTTTGTGAAGCATTAGGCATGCTGTAATTATTTAATCTTTGTCTTCACCTATAGAATTTGCCAGAGACCATTTTTTATGCGATAGAGCAAATTGTATACTTGGCCTTGAAAAACCATCCTTCATTTATGCTTTGAGATTTGAGTTGTTACAGACCACGCACTGATGGAATTGCTAAATATGCATACAAGCTTGATGATCTAGTGTTACTATGTTACTTTGTTTCAGACTTTCTTTTTGAAAGATAATTGTTCTGTTGAGTTGTGGTATCGCTGAAACTCACATCTGGTACTCTTTCACTCTTTGTAAGCCTTTGGATTCAGTTGGTTAGGAGTTTTGTGCATATTCTGTTTTGAGAACGCTATAGGTTGTCATAGCTAGCAATGGTTCACCGATGCATGAGGTGCCTCTGAACAGCAAGACTGTTGGTTTATTTCGGAGCTGGTACTATAAAAAAGTTCTTAGTGCAGTTTAGCAGAAATGTTTGAAAGTTTCAGTTCATTACGATCAATTGATGCTGTGTTTCTCGAATGAACCTGACCGTATCATGCATTGGAAAATTGTATCTGAGATACTGTCTGTTTATGTTGGGCATGTTTCAGTTATGTTTGACGCAGGTACATTGAACTAAAACTCGTGTGACATTCAGTTTTGGCTTCATGCCTTGAAGGAGGGTTGCCGAGCAGCAATTTGAGATTTATTGGGCATACAGTTGGAAACATGAAGATTCTATTTTTTTTTTAGTGTAAGTTTATCAGTCCAATAGTATCCGACGCTGACACAACGCAAACTGCGAGATCTCAATTTCAATCTGCTTATCTGCATGCGGTTCGTTTTCGTGTCGAACTCTGAAGTCTGAATCCGGGAGTCATGCATCAGCCGTGGGCCGTGCAGTAGTAGTCTGGCCGACGAAGGGCTGGGCCTGCGACTAAGCCTGACTAGAATCCAGCCCAACGAGAGCCTCCAGGCCCGTCTGCCTGTTCCGTTACGCGTCCACCACCACCACTGACCCAGTCAAAACGGAGGAACAACCACGTCACCGGTCCACCGTATCCGAGGCGAGGAGCGTGCCGTCTGCCGTGAAGACCCAGGCGGGCCAGCGGTCAACACGGATCCCGTCTCGAGTCCAAGTCCACTTCCACCCGAACGGCCTAATAATCCCCAGATCCGACGGCCCACGCTCTCTCGCCGCCCGATCCCGACCGTCCGTCCCGTGCTAAACCCCCGTCGCGAACGAACAAATCAAATTGAACTCGGCACGCGCACACGTCCGCGGCCGCCCGCACACCGCCAGCCAGCCGCCCCTCCCCTCTCGCTCCTCCCTCCGCGAAACCCTAGCGCTCTCTCTCTGTCTCTCCGTCGGCGATGGCGGCTGCTGGTAGTCCGGCCGCGACGGCTGCGGCGGCGGGCGAGGAGGAGGCCGGCGAGAGCCGCAAGCTCTTCGTCGGCGGGATCCCGGCCGGGGCGCAGGAGCCCGAGCTGCGGGCCCACTTCGCGCGCTTCGGCGAGGTGCGCTCCGTCATCGTCATGCGGGACAGGGAGACGGGCCACGGCCGCGGGTTCGGCTTCGTCGAGTTCGAGGACGAGGCCGCCGCCGCCGCCGCGCTCGGCGACGGGGACAGGCCCAGGCACTTCCTCTGCGGCCGCATGGTGAGTCTCCGCTCGCTCCGATCTGACCTTGTTATGGCTTGCTGGTGCGTAGGGGGGCTTCAGGTTCGCGTGGCTCTGAGCTTGGTCGGTGTTGTTCCGCGGGGATTTACTAGTATATTCCCTTACGACGTTGGTAGATATGAGGTTGTCACATGAGCTCCCGCACGAATGAATCTGGGACTCGGTTTTCGAATCCTATATAGCTTAGGGTCATGATTCGGGAAATTGTAGGTATTGCTGTCGGCTTGATATGTAATCGTGTCTTGCGGGCTCACCATTGCATCTAAATTGCTTTATTTTCGCTGCCCTCTGACTCGGTTTGTGATGGAGCTTTTGCTTAGATGCCATGTGATGTGATGTCCTTATTAATTTCTGATAGCTGGCCTTTCTTTCGTGTATATATATAGGTGGACGTCGTCATTAATTTCTGATAGTTGGCCTTTCTTTTGTGTACACAGGTGGACGTTAAGAGGGCCAGGACAAGAGCTCCGCGAAACCAGGGCGAGCAGCACTCCCAGCCTCAGCAGGCTGAGCAAGGCCGGGGTCAGGGGAACGAGGACAATCAGACCCCCACTGGGAACGGTACTGCAGATAGCGGCAACAACGTGAGCTATGATTCAAAAAAGGTCTTCATTGGTGGTTTGCGGGATAACATCACCGAGGAGGAGTTCCGGGCTTACTTTGAGACGTTTGGCACTGTGACAGATGTCGTGGTGATTTATGACAGCGCGACGAGCCGGTCGAGGGGGTTCGGTTTCGTCACCTTTGATTCGGAGGAAGCAGTGGGAAAGGTGATGCGGCAGAGCTTTCATAACCTGAATGGGACCAAGGTAGAGGCCAAGATTGCTATCCCCAAGGATGAGGCGTATTACCGTAACAGAGGCCGTGGCGCACGTCCCTTTGGTGGGAGGGCCCTTGCTGGCTATGAAGGCTCCATGTACCAACCATACAATGCTAGATATGGCCCCTACAATGGCTACATGCCACAACCTGTTGCTGCACAGCCTTACTTTCCTGCCCCCTATTTTGCTGTGGGGGCCTATCCCTATGGGAGTGGATACCCAAGCCAAGGCGTCATGACAAATGTTCCTGGCATGATGTCAAGGCGGGTTCCTCCGGCCTATGGAACATATCCTCAAATGTATCCAGGGTTTAACCTTCTATACAGAGCTGGTTATGGTGGTGCAGCCACTTCTTTTCAGCATGGAAATAATGGTGGAAATGATAACAAAAAGGATCAAGTGAATGTAGATATGCAGCAAGTTGACAACACTTCTAGCGTTGCAACAATGTTGGAACATATGAAGCTAGGTTCACAATGACTTTCAGGTGCGTGTATTCTGATACCCTACTGGTTAAAATTTATCACTCTTTACTGGTGGGAATTACTGCAATGCCCCTATTTTTTAACCATGGTTGTTATATGTTCCTTGAAATTGATAGAATATGTAAGTCTTTCCATGATACTAGCGCATGGTCTGCCAATTTGTCATTTGGATTTGCATGTTTGCATTAGCTAATTGAAACTGGAGTGTTTATCCTGATTCTATTCTTCAGCTATTATTTTAAGAATCCAAGTTCTTCAAATATAGTGTTGCCATGGTGACTTCTAGCAATGTATCTTGGCACCCTAAATGCTTACTAATGCTGCATTTCATGCTATTTATTCAATTAGCTACAACGAAACAAATGCTGACATCCACAGTTCAGTGTTTGCTTTCAATGTTTGAGGTATTGGTTGGCAGTTCATACAGCACTGAATTCGGTTTATCAATTGGCAAAATGATAATTCCTTCACTGTCTGGACATACGTTAGAGATGGAAAGGTGGATGTGGCAGGGTGGATTCTAGCTGTCTCGAAACAGATGCATCATACCTTTTTTGTTATCTGAGTCCTGTACATCCTTCTTTACTGCATGAAAATAAAATTGAATAATTTGTTTTCCCCATTTGCTACATTCAGTGAGATATTCATGCATCCTACTTCTGGTTATCTACAAATTCGATTAGATTAAAGTATTATGCTTTATTCTTAGTACAGAGGGAACTATAGTTTGACATGAAAGTTGCTTCTTACTATAGGAGTATAACTGAACCAAAATAGCTGATTTATGGAGTAAAGTTATTAATTGATAGAGGATTCTGTGGTAATTTGTTTTGCGAAATTGTATCCTGTCACGAGGTGACTAAACTAACCTTGGGAAGCTGAAGCTTGAGCTATGACCTTGTTTCTGTTTGGGATCTGAGTTTTGCTTGTGCATAGTTAAGCTTGAGGTAGCTCCTGATAAGGCAAATTGCTGCTGCATAGTAGGACCCTGTTTCTGTTTGGGATCTGTGAATAAAAGGGCGTACCCAGTGCAGAGAGCTCTCGCTCTGTGCGGGGTTTGGGGAAGGGTGTCAGTGGCAAGCCTTACCCTCGTCTGTGCAATGCGACTCGAACCCGTTCCGGTCACAGCCGGTAAGACTCTACCGCTTGCACCAGGCCCGCCCTTCAATGTTTGGGATCTGTGAATGTAAGGCACATTTTGTTTTGTTAGAGCAGCCTGACCAATGTTATTCTCTTAATTTGCCCTTTTATGATACAAACTTTCAATCATAAATAAGTACTTTTGGATACAAATCTAATGGCACCAATTTTGTATCCCTTAAGTTAATATACTGGTAGAGTAATTGTTGGTCAAAGGCTTTTCCTAAGGCAGACAGAGGGAGTACATAATTATGTAATGTTTATAGAAGCACGGACATGCCACACTATTTCCATTGTTGCGGATAGCGGCATAGAGTTACTTCTGTGCATTCATCTGGTTAGATTTCCATGTCTTACCTTGTTTAACTGAATACTGGATCAATCATTGATGAGAGAACCTTAGAATAACAAAAAGTTTTCAAGAGCTTGGTACTGAACCTGGGTGCTTGAAGATGCAAAAGTTCGCAAGAAAGCTAATTTATGTTTATATTGTGATGATTCAATGAATATTAGTTCACCAACAAAGTATCATGTATTTGGAATTTTGGATTGTTAAGGTTTAGATGTATTTGGCCAAGCTAATAATATGAGGAGAGGTAGAGGAAGACCGAAATTGATATGGGGGGAGGCAATAAAAAGAGATTTGAAAGCTTGGAATATACCTAGAGATCTATGTTTGAATAGGAGTGCTTGGAAAGCAGCTATTGAAGTGCCTGAACCGTGACTAGGGGCTCTTGGTGGGTTTCAACTCTAGCCTACCCCAACTTGCTTGGGACTGAAAGGCTATGTTGGTTTAGATGTCATGCTATCAATTTGTTTAGATGTTATTATTACATAGCATTTTGTGCGATAAGCTCTTTGAACTGTAGGTATGACTAAAGAGATGTTTGCTCATTTGCCCTATAACCCCTAAAGCCAGCTCTGCTAGATTGACCTTGCCAACTAAAAGAGGGATTCCCAGAGCCTTCCACTGAAGAAGATGAATACTTTAGACTCTCATCCCAGCTAGAGATAGACTACCTCTCACCCATTCCACCTTGGAATGTAAACTGTCTTGGGGAGAATCCTTCCTCATTGCCCTTGGAAATAAAAGAGCTTCAAAACTGGATTGATCCTTGTTGCTCATGGAAACACCACTGATTTGATGAAGGGATCAACCAATGAGTTTATGACATGTGGCGTCACGGCGCACAGGCCAGATTCACATTGTTGGTTCAGTGGTTCTTAACCGTTTAATATTGTTCATGCCTGAGGTTGTCTTGTCATGGTTGATGTTGTCTATAATCCACTCTACTAAAACCATGATGAATCTGAGCCCAGATGTAACACATTAGTCTGGACAGTTCATCTGGTCTTGCCCATGCACCCAGTATGCTAAATGACACCCTTGTTAATCAGCACAATTCACTGCATCCTTCTCTAGATATTGTTTTGACGCATTCAGGGTAGATTTTGAAATTTCTCATACTGTTTATGCTCCTATAAAGTATAAACTACTAACTGATCATCTTTTGTGAGCCAGGACTATTACTTCTACAATGATGACAGTGGAGTACCACAATTGTTTGGGAACCCGCAACTGTGAAGACTTGAGCTGAGATTCTTTGGTTGACAAGTAGTATATCATTATAATTCTTCAACTTACCTACCATTCCTCTTCCTCCTGCCTGTAAACTGAAAGCATGCAAGTTGCTGCCTGTTGACCTCACCCCTCTCCTCTTGTACCAATGTTTGAATTCTTACGTCGTTTAATGTATCTGAATCAGACTATTCAAATTCTACCCTGATCGCCTGCTTGCGCAACCCCGTTTCTTTCTGTTTCCGCGATGTCAGAATGCTTGGTTTACTGGCTGTTTTGGCAGATTGTTACCAAAGCCAGAATCATCTGTCACGAATCTGGTGAGTTGAGCTTGTGCATGTACTATATCACGTTATATCATGTTGGTTGATGGTGAGCATACTGGGCCCGATCGATCTATATGTGCACTGATTAAAAGATGGATGCGCATGCACTGAAGTTCCAGATGTGTAAAAGAGTGGTGTTTCATGAGCGTCTCTCACTGGTCTGTTTGATATGCAAAAAGGCCAGATGTTGAGGGAGTGAATGAAGGCTGGGTCTGTTTGATATGCAAAAAGGGTACTTGCTGCTACAGGTAGTTGTTGCAGCAGCAGCTGCTGCAGCTCTAGGCTTCTAGTGGTAGTAGAGTAGGGGTGCTGTTGGCATGTGAAGGCCCACGGAAGAATGCCACAAACAAAAGATGTACACCCACAGGGCAACCAGGGGAGTGAGGAATGACCCCTTGTCATTCTTGTCGCCTCAGGTCTCGTCCTCATGCGTGCACTACTGCATCTGCATGCCATGCAATGCATGGAGCTGAGGAAGCCCAAGGCCTGGCCAGGTCCTCTCCTCTCCTCTCCCATGGTAGGAGTAGGTGGATAGGATAGTGTAGGGTAGGGTGGGGTAGGATTAGATGGATGATGGATGGATGGATGCTTTAAGATTGAAAGGATGATGTGAGAGATGCTTGATAGATGTTTTGCCTTGTTGAGGTGACACCATGATATTATACAACTTGATTCTGATTGATTGCAACTTTGGAGACTCCCTTTTGGTCACTAGCCAGTAGCCGACCAGGCCAAGCACATTGTTTTTTCTTTTGGAGCATGCCTAGTGTTTTCTTGCATGCAGAGGTGAAGCTTCTTTGGAGGGGGCAGGCAGGGCACCTTGGACACAAGCTGCAAACAGGGGATGATGGCCACAAGCACCCCCATCCTCCTTACTCACACACACCTCTGGAGTATCTATCATCACTCCAAAGGTTAATATTCCCTCTTCTTTTGATGTCCAGTTAGGTAGGGTAAGTTTTGTGGAAAAAGATGCAGGGGCAATGTTTTGTTTTGCATGCTAGCTCCCCATGCAGGGCAGGGCAGGGCAACCCGGCCCATCCGGTGGTCTTTTTGCAGCAGGTGTGTGGTTTTGGTGGAGCAATAGCAAATCTGCAAATGTGCTTGCCTTTGCTTTCTGGAGTGCAAATAAAGTGCAGCGGTTAGCTTAGGCAATGAGTGTTACTATGTACTAACAGTAAAGCCTTTTGTGCATTTTGAGAATGCAAGAAAGTTGTGCTGACTGTGTTTTAGTAGCATCATATCTCAAGTCTAACAGAGATCAGTGTGTAGTAACCGAAATAAGCATGCAGAGTACTATGTATGAAATATACCTCTAGCACAAATTAGAGATTATCCATCAGCTTTATTATATATTGGACTTCAATTCAAATCCCATGGTCAAATTAAAGAACCTTGTAAATAAATCCCCTAGGAGATAGATGGTCCTAAAAGATTTTAACAGGAATCTGCACTTGTCAGACACATAAATTGAAGTCTACTCTCACCAGGGCAACTTTAGCTAGCAATTTTCATCACAAATTTTGCTTTTTCTGAAAAAGCTCTTATATTACAGATTAAAGATACCGGCAATACGGTCAGTCCCCTCTGGAGCATGGTATTGATGGAAATCATGATATATATAGGGCCACTTCATTCTCTTTAGTAGCAAACTTTACCTTTTGCAGATTGTTGTGTTATTATTTAAAAAACTTTATCAAGTAGGAATAGCATCATACAAAATATAATCAGTCATATTCTAAGATAAACATGATATGTTTTACACTGCTTCAGATAAGGACTCATCATAGTAGAGGGTTCATGCTGGTGGAGACCAGGCCTGTTCTGGTTTCAGACTATGTAACAATAAACTAGGAGCAGCAGCTATAGGATGGTCATAGATAGAATGAGGCAGGCATGTTACATTTTTCCAGTGAAGTATCATGTGTGTGTGTCCATGGATAGATGCAT